AAACTAAATAAGATACACATACGATAAAATATGATTATTTATGTAATCATCAAATATGTATGTTGTGCTCACTCGCGAGTATTTATATATTTTTTTTAATTCAGCAAAAAGAAAAAGAAAAACACAATACAGGCTGAGATGGTGTCTTAGTAACATAGTCATGGACTGTTTGAATACGTGCTCTAGACAACTGGACGCCAATTCCACGACCATATGACATATACTCAGAAGAGAGAGCAGTGAAATTATGTGACGGATTTTTGAAAATATTATGACAGGCAGTCTATTTTTTTTTCGCTTTCCGTAATTTAAAATAGGTATATAACTGAATTGAAAGCAAATAGATAAATTATAGTATAAAACAAATGTATAACTCATTCTCAACAATGGAATAAAGAAATGTATATATATTTAAATTATTATTAATGCATTGCAATACAACTAATTACAAATGAAAGAAATTGCAATATATAATATTCTATCAGTAACACTTCTTGAGGGCGTATTTCGCGGTCAGTGTTATTTACGAAAATATTTGTTCACAATTTTATAAACTGTCTTGGCAATTCCCACCACCAACTAGATATAATGTGTACATATTTTAATACATAGAGGTACACTAACAAAAATGAAATTTTCATAATTTATTATAAAACCTGGACAAAAGAAATCAATATTTCTCCGTGCTCGAATGAGGCATTTTCTCTATCTGTGTAACTTCATGCGGGAATTCTAATAAAGTTCACAACTGGCGATTTAACAATATTAGGGATTGTCAACTTATTATCGGATTATTTGTAATCTTAAGATTGTTATGTGAATTTCGTTCATTAATGGAATACTGCGCGATGACGCTATCTTCAGGGCCTAACTTTTTTCAGGCTCCCATATTGAATATGTCCCGGACTGTTTGCGAGTACTTATTTAATTGTCAGTGTCTGACTGTTATATACAACCAAGAACACGTCAGAATAGTAAAAAAAGTCAGTAAAGGCAGTGGCGGCGGCACAGGGAAAGCAAAGGGGGGCGTTCAGCAAAATTTGACCCTCAAAATGTAGAAAAAAGCGTTTCAAAGGGTCTATATTTCAAATGTTTTAAGGGGGAGCATCCCCCAATAAGGTCGCATTTTCGGCGCAAGGTTGGTGAGCATATCTCCCCCCCCCATGCAAAATTCCTTGCCACTGTCTCCGAAAAGTTATTTGCCCATGCCATGAGAGCCACAGAACCAAAAAAATCTGTCAGCCGTCGCCGCCTACAGCAGCGATGAGATTTTACATTGCATAGAAATGAACACTAAATACAGCTATTCCGGCTAGCAATCGAATCATCAATCTTCATGATTTATGCAACTGGTATTTCCATCTATTTGCATAGTTGTCTGAAAGTTCGAGAGTGTGTTTTACGTACAGTGACTTGAAAATTCAACAACGCACGGACAGGAAGTCCATCTTGGGCTAGTGGCATTGTCAAATTTTAGAGAGTTGTCATGAATTTGTTTTCGCGTATCTGTTGGTCGACTTAATTAGCTGATTATTAGCTGAATTGCTGTGTAATGTCTGTCATCGTGTAGGCCTATTTGAAGTTTTGCACGGAACTTGGCTCAGTGATTTGGAACTAATTACCAGATAACCGCCGCTTTTTAGACTACTCATTTTGACAGTTTATATCCGTAGTTATTAATGTAGTGAACGATTAATCAAAAGATATGACGTATTCAGTGCTTAGTGTGATTGGCTTTATGATTGAAGGTTACGCCCTAGAGTCTTTTTACTGTTTTGTAATTGGTTAGAGTTTTGAAAATGAATAAAGAGAGTTTGAGTTGGTCTTGACGAACACAGCACGATAGACGCAGTAGAGAGAGAGTGCAGTCCTGGGCAGTCGAGTCCAGTCTAAGAGAGTCTTGGGGCGAGCCTTGGTTCAGCCTTGTGAGATTCTTGGGGACTTTTCCCCAGGGCGCTGTGTCTTATAGAGTGCTCCAAAAGATCGACTAAGACGAGAGTTGAAACGTATTTCGTTGTGTGTGCCTTATTTGACTGTAAAGTTAAAGTGACTTTCCCGATCCCGTACCTCAAGTGGACGCGATAGAGAGACGAGACGAGATTCCCCCCTGACAAGTGTGGAGAAACCCGAGAGTAGAGAAAGATTTACCCCGTGATAGAGTACAGAAAATGTTTCAGTAAAGAATCGTTACGCATGTCAAACTCTCTATTGGAACAGAGCATGTTATATATTCGCCAAAAACAACGTTGCAATGTTTCTAGGCATACAACGAATGCCATGGGAAACAAAAGAAATCGTCCAATCCAAACGACACCGGGTGAGCGACTATTTACCTCAAAACGCAATGTAGTGCAAGTAATGCAATATCACAACCAACGTTTCAAATGTTCGCCCAATATTTCATGTTTATTTTATGATATGAATGATTCAGCCCAGCGCTTAGATCCAAAATTTAGCGTGAATGGCAATTTATTAAAGGCGCCGCCAGGATCCAAAATTTAGCGTGAATGCCTTTCCGAGCGAAAAAGGTCGATGTAAAAAAAAAAAACGATTTTCGCCTAATCATCAATTTTTGATTCAGCCCAGCGGTAATATAGCTTATTTATTAGAGGCGCCCGGTAACCAAAATGTGGGACGTGAATTACTTGGACGAAAATAATAACCAAGAGGCAGGAGACTAGCTACGGTGATTGCGTCATATTTTAATTTTAGTAAGCTGTGTTTATGCTATGGAAAAGTGCAGATCTTGAACGTACTTTAGTGCAAATACATATTTGATTGCCTAGCATGTCGAACGCAATTTAATGCGAGTGAATTTCCCTACTAAGGTTTAAATGTTGTAGTTGTCTTTCGTGTCTGAAATAATCAATATGGCGACAAAGGCCAAAAGCATTGTTATGGTAATTTAACTTCCGGTACAATAGTTGAAGATTTTTCGAGTTTTCTCGGCGATAGCTACATGAATTTGAACCAAAACGTTATCAGCAAGATTCAGAAGACGACAGTGACAGTCACCAAAACGTAATTGACAGCAAATAAACATGTGAAGCAATAAAGACTGTTGCGAGTGGTAGCGTAAAATAGTGAGCTCAGCCATTGTTGACTTTTGAGGGGAATGTAAATCCGTTGATTTGAGGGTGTCACAATAAGCGAGGGAGCATATCGTTTTTATGCTATGAAAAAGTGAAGACATTGAACGTACATTTTGTACTTTAGTACAACGTCATTTTTGTTTGATAACCTAACGCTTTTAGGTTCATGTGCTGCAAATAATAAAGCCAAGACATTTTCCGTGTAAAAATCGCGAAACTATCTGTTTTTACGTAATCTGGGAAGTTCGAATTACTAAACGAAGTACAGGACGACGAAGCTGAAATATTCAAGAACCAACACATACCAAAAGTATATTTCAAAAGTGAATATTCGTGGTGCATTTTAAGACTAACCGGACCGGAAGTGGGAATTTCTTACTATTTACTGTTCTAAATATCCAAACATATTTTAGTATAAGGTAGTAATCAATCTTGCTATCAGTCGATATAATGGCGAGACTGTTTGTACAGGCTTTTCTTAGGACATGTTAGAACGTGTTCTTTGGAAGTAATATACAACGTGCTTGTCTACTTTGATTTACATTCTTGGTAAATCTGTTGTGGGTGACCTTGGGAAGTACAAAACAAATGTTAGTGTTTTTAACCCCACTATTTATTTATCTTTCTGGCCAGATTTCGTATTATAATCCTTTGCTCTGTCGTCAAGCAATAATAAGTACATGGTAAGGGACGCCAAATTAAACCGATCTCTGACACAGTCAAATGAAATCAGGACTCAGGTATGTACTACAGAATTGCTTACTATAATAGTGTGCGAATAATGCTAAAAAACCAAAACACGGAAACCCCAGCAAATATGGTTGATGACGATGAGTGAAACTAAATAAAAATAAAAAACAAAAAAATAAAATATGTATATTCGGGGGAAGTATGCGAAGAACCGATTCAAACTGAACAGGTTCAACTGTCTTACTCTGACACTGCCTCGACAAGCTATTTTTGCACACAGTTGTCCTGCAATTTCACATACTACTTAAGTCTCTTAGTTGATCTGAGAGTGGATTTCGGTATTTACAGTGCCGATGAATTAAACACTGAGAGCGTATAGTTGATGTTTGTTAAAAATGCCAACGCATGGAAATTGAATTACAATTCACATTTTGGTCTGAAGAATAATAATATTTTGAGCCACAAACCATTCCTTTGATCAGTGTCCTAAGTCGCTATTGTTCACTTCAAGGAAACGATATCAATCACCGTTGAGGATATTGAGTGAGAGAACAACAATACTTTCATTGTTATTTTATGTTGATTCGCCAACTAGAGTCCGGTCACTTCGGTCTCAAAACAAACATAGCTATAACATACTTTTGCATGACTCGTTTCATCATCAGCGCTGGTGCAATTGCACTATGAATGCCCGCATTGATTTTCAAATATTTTTAGTGAGACATATCCATAGTTATGGGACGGGTGGGACTCGGGGGATCGGGGTGCTGTGGCACACACCACTTTGTATGATATACACACTTTGTATAACATATATTATTTATTTAATTCGTATCTTAAAATATACAAAAATCCTCCTTACATTCACACCATAACCGGTTTAATTAAATGTCGCACTGGACAATAGATATGTACAGAAATACGTTACGCCTGTAACACGCACGGCTGGTAATGCAACAATGCGAGTATTGATTACATCTTGGTGTGCAGATCAACAAGCGTTACAATCCATCGCACACAATGCGTCGTCGCATTATACTCAATATAATGAATGGATATCAATATACCTCTTTATGACCATGCCGACACAACAATCGCACATTGAAGTAATACTTAGAACTGCTCTACTTAGAATTAGTTTTTTTTTAAATTGGCGTTTCATTTATGAGTGTGTAACTTGGGCAACTTACTTCCTTGCCAGTTAGCAAGTATGCGACGTATTGTGTGCATCGTGTTGTTCTTTACTCTCAATACACTAACCGTGAGCGGGTGGTGGACAACGCCGTGTTGGTACTGGTATGATTGGTGTACAACTCCGGATTCACTGGAGATGACGCCAACGAGTCCATCATGTACCTGGGATCCTTGGTCAAACTGTTCAGCGGCCTGTGGACCGAGCGGTACAACTTATAGAGAATGCAACTCCATCAATGGTGTTGAAGTACGAGAAGATGAAGCCTGTAACAGGTTTTGTTATAATAACGGCACTTTAACCAATGGCTATTGCGTCTGCACATTAGACTTCGCTGGTGAATGTTGCGATTTACCTGCCGAAGGAGGTGAGTATTACAGAAATAAAAAAAAACAATGTTTCAGACCATTTTGTGAAGTAAAACGATAGCAGCAATTCAGTCGTTATTTGTCCTTGTTTATTCCGTCCACGAGATATGTGGGTTTTCCTACAAATTGAACGAATCGTTCTTCTCCTATAATTTACTCTGGGCGTATTTATAGGTTTTCTTATTAGTAATACAAGCCTCTGTAAAGGTTAATGTATGCAATGTAAAGGTTAATGTAATAAAACATTGCACAACTTCCTCCTTTTTGTATAATAGCCATACAAAAAACAAAATTAAACACATTTGCTTATCGACCAAATCGGACCAAATAACCTAGCTAGCAAAGTCCCTTCTTTAATGTCGTCTTATTTGCCAAAATATCGTTTAAATTTGCTTGGTATGCTACAGGTGGACATTTATTCGCGGAGGTATGCGAGTCTAAAGTTGCAAGACTTGTGCAACCCTGGATAGACAGGCTGCCAAAGGCGACTTTACTTCACTCTCGGTTGATTCTAGTAAGATTCGAATTGATTTCACGAGAAAATACTCTTCGATAACAGTCCCGTCATGTGTGCGCACATGGTTACTTCTCTCAGCCTTCAAGTATACGAGCATAATTTGTAAGATTGCTGCAACCCTGGATAGACAGACTGTCAGAATAGACTCTGCGATAGCTAGTAAGATTCCAATCTATTCCACGACGGAACAATACTAGATAACAGTTTGTAAAAACCCATCATGTGTGCGTGGTTACTTCTCTTAGCCTTCAGGTATGCGAGTCTATTAAAGTTGCAAGATGTGCGCAAACCTGGATAGGCAGGTTGCCAAGGGTGATAGATTATCTGATTAAGCAAATGTCAGTAGTTATTACTAAACGCTTCAGCGTGGTATTAAGAGTTTGTTTTCAGGGGTGGGTGATACCAAGGTGGGAAATGGATGCACATATGGGGTTAATTCCTTGAATTGCAATATAGAGGGTTCAGGCTGAAATACAATAAATAGTGTTTTCATGTTTCGTCTGATATTTCTGTGGTATTCTGCTGCTGTAAGTAATGTACGATTTGTTCCGAAATT